TTGAAGTAAAAACATTACGATATTCAATACATATTTTTAACTCTACATTCTTACTTGTATAATACGGGAAAGGAGGTAACTAAATCTAACTAACTTTCTCTGTCTTTGAAAATATTTGTCTTAATTGAAATTTCATGAATGACACTTAAGATAATAAATTAATTCGTTCCCCAGGTTTACTTTGTCCTTATTTAAATTTAATCAGCATCTTTGTGGAACGAGATAAACAATGATACCAGTCTCGCTATTACGGTAGCCAAAAATGGAAAATTAGAACGTACCAAAATATTTTGACCTCTGAATTCTAGTTTTAGACTTCTGTTTTCGATAATTTCTGTATATTGTCCTAAAAATATGAAATCATTTATTGATTTTTGTTACATATCCTGAAGTTATTCATAATATTTTTTTGTGAAATTTATCCGTATATTATGATTATTAATACAAAAATCGAACGAAACACAGAAAAATTCCTTAGATCTGACGGACTAGCGTAGCGGCCTAAATCTTCTTCTTAATGGAAACCCGTGCCCAACAGTGTGACGTACATATAACGGTCTACAATATTTGTATTATTTCGCGCAATTCTATGTAAATAGCTATTAATATGTAGTTACTAATACAAACATCAAACTAATCGAACATAAAGAAAAAATTCTTCGACATGATTATGCTCGAACTTACATCTGTGCCCAACCTCGGCCACCGCTCTGGCAACTGAGATATAGATCGAGTCAGCAGACCTTACAAATTTCATTAAATGTTTGGTATTGTGTACATAAGTGTACAAACTGTACTTATGTTCGGAATTGGTCGGCGAGGAATTTCGTACATGGGTTTAAAATGTTTTTTTTTTTATTCAAATGGTTTTGCTCTTAACCTAGCCCTGGAGCAAAGATAGGATCTACAATGGAACGAGCTCGCCCGGAAGATGCTTCTTCAGTCCTATTTTAAAGATACTCACGTTGTACGTGGGGCGCACTGTAAGTTTCCGGAATGAATAAGAAAAAAATACTATAAAGGGTCAGAAATGAATTTGTTGTTTCTCAAAATATTCTCCGTTCGCGTTAATGCGAATGAACCAATTTTGAAAACATTTATGCCATTCCTCCGTCACAATCTCTGAAACATATTTTTCGTACTCTTACTTTACTTCTACGTACAGCCTCTTCAGGCTATGAAAATCGTTGACCGCGTAACTGGTTCTTAATTTTTGGAAACAAGTAATAGTCACAAGGTGCTAGGTCGGGACTGTACGCGGGTTGACTCATAAGGTCAACGTTGTTCACCTTCAAAAATTATTTTGTCTGTCTGGCCGTGTGAGAACTGGTATTATCGTGGTGCAAGATGATACGGTGTTTACGGTTATTTTTATGGAGTTTGTCAATAGCTTCCGGCAAACAAATGGTCGTGTACCAATCACTATTCACGGTACAACGATTCTCCAAAGCAACAGTAGCCACGTGTCCAATTTTATTAAAAAAAAAAGCAATCATCCGCTCAAAGGCACTTTGCAAGCGCGTCACTTTGGTTGGTTTCAGCTCATCTCGAAAGACCCATAGACTCGATTGCTGCTTTGCTTTGGGATAACTATAAATCCATGTTTCGTTATCTATTACTATGTCAGACACCAAATTTGATGCTCCTTTGTTGAATCTGGTAAGCATGGCATTGCACGAAGTGACGCGATCCGTTTTTTGAGCCTCGTGCAAATTGTGTGGGATCTACTGAGAGCACAGCTTTTTCACACCCAAATGTTTGTGTAGTGTTAATTGAATGTGACTCATAATGTGACTCATGCCTATGCCTAAAAATGCCCAAATCTCATGGTATATCATATGCCTGTCTGTATTGATCATACGGCGCACAGCATCGATGTTTTTGTTGTTCACAGCAGTGGACGGGCGGGAGTCGTCTTGTATGGTGCTTCATTGGCAAAAGCAGTTTGAAGACGAGCTAAGCTCCGCTGAGCTGTTAAATTACACTTAAAGTCCTAGAAAATCATACTACGAAAATTTTCACGAGTTAAATCCATGGTGATGTAAAAACAAGTGACAGTCAGATGAAACAAACTGTATTCTACACCCAAAGAGTTCCATTTTCAAATGTTGTAATTACTTTTTAAATATTGTTTATGTAAGTGGCCAGTTCCGGAAACTTATAGTGCGCTCTATGTATGTGCTCGGAAATTCCATTCCTGTGTGCGCATAATAAAAGATAATGAAAAGCGCTTAGTACGCTTGAAGGGAATATCGAACAAGTAAGGATCATATCCCGCCGTGCTTCCGATGTCCGATGGTCAAAGAGGGTGGGCGGGATGAACTGATGGAGCTCATGGGCACACTCACCGAAATATATTCTGTAGAAAACTGATAGACAGGCTTTGCGCCGATGGTTTAAACAATGAAGTTTAGATTCGAGCTTATCGTCGCTAAGTATCCCGGCTCTGCGTTCAATGGAATCAAGAGCTTCATGGCGACACGATCTGGCAATATCGTTCATATAACAAGAAACCAAATACACATTTAAATACATAAAAAATGTTTTAATCTCTCCGCTTCAAAGTGCTACTTCTTAGTGTACATTTTTTTATCGATTCTATATCGACACCTGACTTTCATCGAGAACCGGATTCGACACTCATGGTCACTGTACCATTACTAATTATTCTTACCGCTACTTCAATAAATGGGAAATTAACTCTATTGCCCGAAGAGCAAAGTCCAAAATCTAATGTGGTAAAAAAAAAATTACACATACGCGAAAGTATTGAGTGAGATTTTCTGGTATACTTTTTTATTTCGCCTTAAAATTTATATTTCTATTACTACTAGTAGTAGCAGTAGCCGCTCACGCGATACGCTCATCCTACCGCAAAATGGCGGCTATTTGGTTTCGCAAATTAGAAAAGGATTCAGTTTAAATACAAGTTTTTAAATATAATAATTACTATTCTGCATTGCTAAATAAATACCCCCCGTACTACAATAAAAACATCTCAAATAAAATGCAGTAATACACCGCAAATCCTGCACTTAAAAAGCACTAATGAAATTTTTGGTGTACTTGGGTAAATATGATAATATTCCATTTGAGTGGTTCTAACGTTTACCATGAAATTACTTCTTAAAGTATAGTTTATAAACATTTAAATTCAGGGTAAACTAAAAACGCAAGTTACGGTATGTTTTCAATAAATAAACACCGACATCAGCAGCCCAAACAATAATAACACACACGGTTGTCGTGACGTATTTTTGAAGTTGTTTATTTTTTTTTAAATGACAGACCCAGGCATTAAAAACTTTATGGTTTGCTAGAGTAGTTACCGAAATAGCAATTAGTATTAGTTCTTTTACCTGTTATAACTTCGATATCCGATAAATCGGTATAAAATCATCACCGGCACCTCTAGGTACACACACAAGTGTAGCCTTATGATTTGACTTACCGTCTCTCAAACAGTAGGTCGCTGGTTCGAATCCGGGCATGCACCTCTCAGCTTTTCGGTGAATGAAAACATCGTGAGGAAATCTACAAAGCAATTTAACGATATCTGTGACGTTCCCAGTCCGTATCTCTCTCATCTTATTGTGAAAAGAGCCCAGTAGTGGGACTATAGACAATATAAGGTAACTATTGTAATAATTATATTTGTGTTTCTTTAGTCTTTATTTCGACTATTATTAAAAAACATAATCACTTCGCTACCAATAGGTTATTGATTTTGTTGAAATAAGGAATAAGCTGCAGTAGTGTGCATTTCGTCAGATTTAGTTGTGTACTCGATGTGTCAGATGGTTTATTCTGCAGTAAGTCAATACAACATGACATACTTAATCCGTTCATGGACAGTAGGTAGCTGTTCAGTAGCTGTAGCTCCTTGTAAAAGAGTTCGTCTAGCCACCTTACCTATTTCAACCGCTAAGCAATAATGTGAACATTATTGCGTTCTGGCTTGGAAGGGGTTGGAATTACAGGTACATGGGATTTATCAACTTATGTCTCAGGGTGACAGGCGCAGTGGCGGTGCCCATGAGATCTTTAAAGCTCTGAATGGCACTGCAACTGCTATGGATAGGCGTGTCATTTACCACCAAGCGCACGACTTGAATGGGAACATTCTTGTGTCAAAGGTACGGCTATGACAATGGTAGGATGATTGCCATTGTATCATATAGAGTTAGTGCTTAAAACACTATGCGTTAAAAATTGGTTAAAACTACTTTTGCGGTTAGAAAATTTAGTGGCACTGACATGTACTTGAATCACCACATACAACCACGTCGGTCTTAAAATAACGTCCACAAATGTGTGCGTAAAATTATTAAATTTTCTTAGAACGTTGTTGATACTTCTCTAGGAAAAAGCAGTAGCCAGCAACTACATAGGAGTGAACAAAAATTAAAAAAATAATGTTACTCAATTGGTGATTGAATATACTTAAATGCAATACATGACCAAATTAAAGGTAAAAAAACATTGTCTCTTTCAATAAAATATAAAATATGAAAATGTTGATACTTTATCATAAATTAATAAAAAGCCCTTTTCAATTTTTATTCTAGTTATAAACTACTTCGGCGGCTGTTCGCCTATATAGTTACATGGTTATTCTAGTAATTGGTCACAAATTTTTAAAGTGCAAAAATGCATTACATTTTAAAGATTTTTTACAGTATCCCATAAACAATATTACAAATTTAGTTTGGTACAAATATAAATGTAAGAGTAGAAAGTGTGCAAAATATATACTTGCAATGCGCGTGCAATATTATTGATTTTATGTTCCGTAGAAAACATTGGTTGGCAAAAAAAAAAATACGGTAAACGTTTATTCGGCGGGGCCGTTGATATTTTGATATTTAATTTTAAGGTAAACGATCTTACTGTCCATGAACTGGTAAATTAGCCTAGTTTCACGGTGCATTACTTCTTTAATACCGTGTAAATGTAATTTAAAATAAATAAATGATACTATTTATATTTTAAATTTCCAGGACGCCGAACGAAAAAAAGGCTCCTGCAAGCTGTAATCCCGATGGTCTTCGGCATGAAATCCTCTGCAGCATTAATCTTCGCCATGTTCCTCGTCACCGCCATCACATTAAAGGCTTTCGTGCTTAGCAAATTGGCTTTGATTGTTACTGTCGCCATGGCTTTGAAGAGATTGTACGAGTCCTATAGTATGGGGTAAGTTTCTTTTTAATTGAAATTAATACACCAAGCTTAATACGCTCAGTTGGTCACACGACAATAGCATGTGAGACAATGGCAAAATTTGTAGATTTAGAGGAAATCATATAACTTTTTACTAGAGGACGCTTTTAAAAAACATTTGACAGGGATCTCTGGTGTTTGGTATCGCCTATTAAATTTTCCTTCGCGATAATTTTATGTAATTTTCGTTGGACTTTATATCCAACTAAAATGTATAATCAAGTCAAACGGGCGTCCTCTTAAATTTTGCCAGTCTTCCTGCTACTGTTGTTACGTCTCTGCACTTTGTATTATTCACCTTGTTTGTAGAAAAAAGATATTGTAAACGAGAAAAGAAACAATCAATAACGTTATTAATATTTATTAGTCCGTATAAAATAATGAACTAAAGAAAGATTGCAATACAGTTGGTGGCTGAGAGTGGCAATGGAATTCCGTATTTCCGGCTCTGAGTTGTTATTTAAACCACTACTTTCATAATCAAACTAAAGCAGGACAGCCAACCTTGAAAAAAAAAAACTTGGGATGTGAATTTGGGCTAGTGATCGATATTTAAGCTGTTTATAGTCATCAAGTGGTGATATTTGGAATGTGCTGTGGTGAAATTTAAGGTCATTCAGGTTTAGAATTGGTTTTAATACGTTTTTAACGTTGAATTATGTAAAGAGTTGACCATTGCCATTTTTTATTTCACCCGCTTCCTATCGTAGTTTGTGCATTAATCGCGCTATTCTCATCTATGACCCACGAATTTGATGAAAGAGGTGCTAAAATAAATAGATTGTTTGAATTTAGAAGCTACAATACGAGCATCTGTTATCTATGGTTTCAAAATTATAAGAAGACAGACGTAGGAAAGAGGCACAATCTTGGAGCGATCAACGTTTTTTGGAACGATTAAAAGAAAGTTGAAAATGTTAAATTTTATCCCATTCTCAATTAGCTCATACGTGCTTCGAGCGATTAACTGTCTTTTTTGAGAATTTTCCAAGGTTTAGCTGGCATATTAATTGTAGATGTTATTGAATTTTTCTTCAGAATTGCATATTCTTTAATCACAGCTGATATTTTTTTATTAATTGATTTTGAATTAGTATCCATTTGGAACTTAATAAATTTGAAATTTAGGTTGATTGTCTTTCACTTTTGCATGTTTTTTGTCTCAATTTATGAAATAATTAAGATGAATTTATTAAAATTAAAATTTATTGATGATTCTTTTTTTGCAATTTTCTTATTATAATGCTTTAATAAAAATGTCTTAACAATTAAATTCAGTTAACGTCAATTTGCATTAGTAGTTTAAACATCATAAAAAAAACATTAATGCGATATTAGAACATAAATTTTAATGGACATTTTTGATAAAGTATTTATTTTTGTACAGTGTACAGTCAGCATCAAAAGTTGATGATTTCGGGATAACCTATAGAACATGTAAAAATATCTTCTTTTCTTATAGAGCACTTATAGCAACACATTTCTACTGTGTATATTAAAACCACATTATATATAACCATGTACATATATGGTCATCCACTTTTGATGCAGACATTACTCGATAGCATGACCGGACGGACAAAAAACATGGACAGAGACGCACGTTGACTTATACATGAATAAAATATATAGCAGGAAATCAGTGTATACATACGTATGTACGAGATTTCACTAGAATAGAGGTGGGTGGTAGTGGTATTATTCTATTAATAGTTAGAAAGTAATGGCTTGAAAAAGCGCGAAAAAAATTTAAGTGCAACGTGTTTGTCTATTTAATTATGATTAAAAAATTGAAGCCGAATTACCACTTTCTTATAAATGCTAATGATAACAATAATAATGAATAGTAAATCGGACTGCGCATAATTAATGAAAATAAAATTGTGCTACTGGAATGTTTCCTAGTGCTATGCAAATAAATAATGAATGAATTATTATAATATATAAAGATATTATCGGAGATACAGTTCCATGCAGATCTAGAACCAAAAGAAAAACATGGAAGCTATCAACTGGTTATTATCCCGCGCAAGTTGTAAAAGTCGACTGAGGGATTAATAGTGTCGTATATGTAGGCGACAGGCTGGCAACCTGTCACTGTGGTGCACTACGTCACACAAGATTGTATACAATCTTAGCCCAAACATTTGCCAGATGTGGCTTTAGTTGCACTGTGTCACTTGCTCTGTCTATCCCTATATGGGAACCCAAAGGCGTGAGTATATATGTATGTATAAAGATATTATTAATTCAAAAAATATATCAATGTAACATGATAAAGGTATATAAGGATATATATATTTATAAACTTTACAAATAGTGCTTATTAATTAATATTCTCTCTATCTATTCTCATATTTAGTATCAGTAGAGCTCCTTGTGAAAGAGTTCGTCTAGGGAAGTATTGCCACCTTACCTATTTCTGCAGCCAAGCAGTAATGTGAGCTGCGTTCTGGTTTAGAAGGGTAAGGGTGCTGGTGATATTACAGGCAAATGGGACTCGTCAACTTATGTCTCAGGGTGACACTGCAACTGTTATGGATAGGCGTGTCGCTTACCACCAGACGCACGACTTGTTGCTTCCGTCACTTAGTATTATAAAAAAATATAAAAATATATTTTTTTATCTATTTACATATTTTTGTCTTTGTATGAAAGTAAAATTTAATGAATTACTAAAAATCATTGCACAAAAGTTGTTGTTCATGGTGTTAGTAATAAAGTCATACGAGGTAGTTAGTTATTTACAAATAACCTTGTATATATCGCATGGACTTTATATCTACTAAATACAATTCTAGTCCCTATTTTATACGTTGTCATATCAATAATTATATGAAGACGATCGATAAACGAATAATTAATGACAATAACGGATATAACTGTTATTACTCGATACACGCTATCTACTACCTACATCACTTAGAAACATTGTGAAAATCATCATACAGCAGCTTTTATATCAAAATACTAGCGAACTACCACTACGACGAGATGGTACTCGCGTAAATAGAAATAAAAGTGTTTAGTAGAGGATTCAAGTGTTAGGAAAAGAAACTGCTTGCCTAAATCTTGTAAAAAAGACAGAAATAATTATAACTTTTTACTAAAAAAAACGACCTCCAAAGTTTGTGGAATTACATCTATTTACCAAGTTTTATTGAAATCCTATAATCCCCTAGTTTGGCATCCTTATAAGTGGAATATTATCTTCAAATTTAAATGAGATTAATACTGAGTTTGTTGGAAAGAGGGTATCTAAAAGAATCATCAAAATCGATTCACAAATGCCTCAGTGAACACGTAACATACTCACTAAAAACACCTATTTTGAAGCGGTTAAAAATAAAGTATTTAAAGTATTTCTAGTATGAAGGCCCTGGAAAAATAATTATTTCAAAACAGTTGTTACATTGTGATATTTCGTGTATAAAGAACTACGTAACATTTCAAACACTACGTCTTCAGGCAAAATATTTTCTCTCTAATTACCAAATGTAAGTTGGTAGTAAAATGAAAATTTAGTTAAATTTCAACACAAAATCGAGAACAGTTTTTTTACATAGATTATCTATTTATTTCTTTAGTAGTTTTTGCATAATTACATTTATTATACTTTTAGAAGCGACGCTGTTGTTGATTTAAAATAGTATATTAACATTAATCAAGCAACCGTTACATAAAGCCATGTAGTTTCTCTGAAATAAAGGAACGCTAATGACAAAAGGACTCGACTCTGGACATGGACACTGGACTTTGTGACAGGACTGACGCTGACGTTGTATCTACGAGTCTGCATACTCAAAGCACTAAACCTTTCTTTGTTTTTCCAGTGCTGGTTTACAAAACCACCCATACCTTTACTCCCAGTATCCGATCGATTTCCCAAGCGCCTCGTCGCACGCATATTCCGTAAGTGGAATGAGCCCACAATTCCCCGAGATGTATAACCCGACGGCAATGGCCTCGCACCAGGCAGATATTCTGCCGCACAACGATGCATCGGCTCAGCAGTCGCAACAGGCGCCAACAGTACAGCTACTCAACTCAACCAGAGCTTCAGAGCGATGGGACGGTAAGTCAAAGCTGGAGAAACTCCTAGAACCTATAGTCAGTGGAATAAGAAGCTACCTCGACCCTATAGCAAACGTATTCTACTCAATGCCAGCGACGTTCAGAGGATTGAACTCAGACGTTACTACAATGAAAACTGTTGAAGAAGAAAAAAAACCTAGAGAATTTCTAGTACCCCAGCCAAGGTTCATTGCCCAGAGAAAAATGAACTACAGAAAAGCATATAGACCAAGACCAAAGAAATACACTGAACTGAATCTTGACTTAGACAAACTGAAGAAAAATAAAGACCTATACGATTATTTGAAGACAAAAAAGTATAAGTTTAACTATCAAAACACTTATTACTATCCGAGAGTAAAATATTTTGTAAATCCTAATCATTTTTTCGTAAAACCTAAAAACACTAGACTCGTGCCTTATGTAAAAGAAATTACTGCTAACGATTCAACGGCTAAACCCAATGTTACCTTAGTACATCTAGGTTACTGGAAACCTGTAATATTATTGCCAGTATTAACAAATCAATCTAATTTACACAATTCGACAAAGGCTGATCATTATGTGAATGTTGATAATACCAGACATAAAAGAGCAAAACGTAGTCTTGACGACAACTCCGTGGATGACTTTCCCGTATCAGAAGACTTAAAAGCTTACGGATTAAGTACCTCAGGACGTAGTGTTGTAGCATTCATGCAAGCATTATCAAATCAAGATCCGGTTAAAGGAATGTGGAAGGATGCCAATATCTATACAAAGAATCTCATTAAGCATTCTTTAAAATCCGTTGGACCACCAGCGTACTACTCATTCACTTATGACATTATAATGTTGACACTTGACATCATTGATGGTCTAATAGAAGTACATCAGGATTTGACTGAACACTTCTTTGGTGGAAAGCCGAAGAAACAAAAGGCTCATAGTCATCCTCCAAAGCAAAAGCCTAACAAAAAGAAGAAGAAGAAGAAGCCACATAATCATCATCATCATCATCATCATCATCAACAACAACAATTGCAGCAGTTACAACCGCAACAGCAATTGCAAAACATACGAGATGAGGAAGATGAATTGGACTTTTTGGGTAAATCAGCTAAAACCATGTAAATTACAAAAAACAAGTTGTTAAAAATAAATTTATGACAACGTAAAATTTACAACACTTTGAAAATAAATATAAATGACATCGATCATGAACATTTCAACATTTTACAACGATCCGGTTTGCATTATGACTGTAATGACAAAGATAAGGTAAAATATTAGGAAAGAAAAAGAATCACGTCGTAATGGATATATCAACTTAATATAAATTTAAGCTGAAAGATTTACCAATACGGCTATTATTTAATGTTACGATAATGCCTATTGAATTTACAATTATGTCTCTAAGAATACATCTTAATAAAGTTACGGTATTAGTGTATATTGCAGTAGTTTGCAGCAGCATTTAATAAAATTGCATTTAATATTGTTTAAATTTTAGTTCCTACAATTTGGTGGTGGTATTATTTTCAGATATATTCAAGCGGCAATCTCATTAGTATTTATGTAAAATTGTGGGTCTACATTTTGTAAATATCAATTGGAATGTGTTTTATATAATTTACAGGTTGAAATAAAATCGAAGCTTTAATTCGCTTTGAATAATTTTTAAATATTCCTACACTTATTAAGAAAAAATGAAAGAATGAGTATTTTCGAGTCAATAGTTAAGATAAACTTTTTGATTGATTATTACGTTCATACTCAGTTTTGCCAATATAGCTTTCAGAACGAGATATTGAAGCCCATATAATTTCACAGTCAAATATAAAACTGCCTCTGTGGCGAACGGTTACCACGCTGGACTACCACGCAGAGGTCCGGAGACATATAAGGTCGGGAGAAATATTTGTATGGCCTACATTTATTTCTCTTGTGAGTTAGGGTGTAATTTGTGGTTGTCTATGTATGTGACCACGGCACCCGCGATACAGAGTTTCCCTAGTGCGGTGCTATGTTGAGTGTGTGCGTTAATAATCCGCTTATAAGATTGCAGAGATTTAATCAAAAAGTTTATGTGCGGTTTTATATCTTCATTAGAGTAAATCAAGCCCAGGACTCGATTGAATTGAGAAGATAACTTGAGAAAAACTGATGAGTTTTGGAACAAATGAAATTGATAACTTGACTTCAACTTTCGTGAACAAAGGATTTAATCTAACAATTTTAATAAAAAAGAGAAGTAATTAACTTTTTTCAATTGTACTCGAAGAACTTTCTTTATTCAATGGTTGGACTGAAAAAGGTTGGAATCCTGGTTGTTTTTAAAATTAATCATATTTAGCACTTCTCGGCACAGTTTAGCACCAAAAATTAATTCAAAATCTAATCAAAGTTATTAAGCCATAGACTATCTCAATTCGGTCGTTCCAAGAAGTTTGCTTTACTCGCCAAAGCATTTAAATTGATATTTTCATCAAAAAAATAAATTTCATCTATGTTGCACAGGATACCGGAGGCCTTATGGAACCTCGCGCGCTACTTCAGAATCCTATTTGGGCTACCAGCCATATCGCCGCTGAGTGAATCATCTATGACCATGCCTATGTACGTCATGCCCCAAATGTATCAGCAGGCAATGGCTCAACAACTGGGTCAGCTGAATCACCAATTGCCCCAATAACAAAATTGGACATTCAAGGATCAAGTGGCGTCATATTAGTTACAAATTCAGCTAAATGTCAGATTGCCACGTCAACTTGATCTTGATTCCCTTTTGCCTTGTTTGACGTGGCAATCTGATATTTAGCAATGTCAATGCAGTCACAGTGCTTTAAATTGGCTGGACTTTTATTTATATTTATTATAAAATACGTAAATTAAGGTTTATTTATTTGATGTCCAGGAAATCTAAAGCACTGTCCCTGCTTATTAATAAATATATTAAATTAATTTTAATTAAGACTGATTCTTTACTCTGAAGTCTGAATATTACTAAGCGCGAGCCCCGTCGACTTTATTTATTTAAATTATGTTAATTTATGCTAAATTGTTAAGTGTTGTTAAGGCTTATTTATTCAGCAGTTTGTAAAATAAAAGTTTACAAGTTTGTTTATGTTTTACTTAATCCCTTTCGAGATTAAAAGTTTAGTCCAATTATTATTGCCTGTTTTAGTAGAGGAAAATAAAACAAGACGTATGTATATTACTAGAATAAACAGTAAGACACGTTCTTTTCTAGCTTTAAATTTACTCTAACAATTACCCCAGCCAGTGACAATAGCAAAGAGTTATCAACGTGTCGTATTAAATCGCTGGTGACCAGAGTGTCAACAGCTACCTTCGCCAAAAAACCATCCAAATGGGCAATTTTGCGGGTCTCTTAAGCACTATACAAAAGGATGCGACACCTCATGGAATTTTCTCTATATAATTAATGGAGTAAAATGTACATTTTTCTTTTATGGCAACCATATTTATTATAACATTTCCTTTTTTTATTGCCCTTATAAATAATAAAAGTACCTTCCCATAATCGTAGAAAAGAGACAGTTTTATCTACTATATATTTGCGCTAATGATAAACCTGCAGCATGTTGGAGAAATTTCACAGATTCTTTTAATATGCATATAATGTCCAACCCTGATTAGGCCACCATGATAGACTTCAGCCTAAAACCATCTGATCATGAATAACTTTTTAAGAAATGGTTAAAAGTAGAAGACATACATTTTAGAATAAATTTAAAATCATAATAATCTAGCTCTAAATTTTATCACGACTTTTATACCACACTTAGATATACAAAATACTTAGTTAAAAAACCTTGAAGTTAGCATTTCAAAAGAGTAACAGTTCATATCGCTTGACCTTTGCTTCGGTGTGTCATTATTAATACTTTATTTATCGTAATAAGTAATCCTGCGTAGGTGGGGAAGTAAAGTGATATGTGTTATCCCTTGTGTTCAAGTTTTGTCAGGAAAAATCAGAGCCATAATTACCTATTAACTATTTCTATCAGTAATAATGATAGGACTTAATATGCTTCAAGACGAATATGTATTGACAAACGACAATCCTTTGACTTTCTTATACGTTCTTTTTAGTTCCTTTCCGAGTCATTTAAAAATTAAACATGATAGTATGTATGACCAATACTACTAGACATTCTTACCCGTTCTACTCAAGGGATCTTTCCCGGCTTGCTTCAAAATATAATACTTGAAAATAAATAACACTCCCTAGAGTTTTCAACTCGTTCTATTCGAGTGAACTTTCTGGTCTTATATATTTAGGAACAGTAAACTTCTCGCTTAAAAACAAAATATTAATTTAGATTCCTATTGAAATTTTTCCGGTAGAGTCGACTACCAAACTCTCTCGTCTTCTGTTTGGTGGCGGAGCTTTTCAGTTCTTAGAAACCTACGCGCCTGGAGGGACCAAAGGATATCAAGCTCATGCTCTACTAGCTCTTCGGGCTAGTGCTGGAGAAGCCGATCGCAGTGTCCTGCGACAATGTCCGGATATAACTTCCGGTTTAAAGGGAACTCACGTGAACCGCGCGTTTCCTCGCCTTAGCCCTCGTCTAGACCGCTAGTAAGACACGCCAGCTGCGCGTCGTAGTAGCGGTCATCCGTTTATTTGAGTTTTTAATTCGGGACTTAATCACGTATAATAATAATAATAACGCCCAAAACGTCGAGGTAATTAAAATATTATGTTTTATACGGGGTTAAGTTCCAAATTAAGAATCAAAATAATGTGTGAAAATCGTGCAAATTTAAAATCATAGTGTTCATCCCTAACCACAAACCGAAGTCCATACTCAAGTCTGGGTCCACCAGAGACGCCCGTGAAGGCATATTACTGGCGGAGGGTTTGGCTCGGACACCCACTGTGTCCTAGTCTTGCCGGGGAAAATATGGGCGAACTCCCTATCACTCGGGTCGGTAGATAGGGAAGGGTTAATTATAAGGATTAATTCCTTTTTAGGAACATAGTATATTAGTAGCAGTAGAGCTTCTTGTGGAAAAGTTTATCCAGGGAAATACTGCCACTTTACCTATTTCTGCCGCCAAGCAATAATGTGAGGACTACAGTGTTTCGGTTTTGAAATGTATGCTTCAAAACCGGACTTGTCAATTTATGTCTCAGGGTGACGGGCGCAATGGCTGTGCCCTTCAAATCTTTGCGATTTAAGCTCTTGGCACTGCAACTGCAACAACACTAGGCGCATGACTAGTTCGTCCTGTCACTTGGTATCAGAAAAAAAGATTAAATTAAAGGAAAACCCTTGAATTTTATAATGTATTCAAAAGTCAAAGTTATTTGTATTAATCTTCATAACAACTCTTTGTGTAAGACACTTTTTTGTAAACAATTTGAAAAAAAACAAAAATTTCCTGCCCGCCTGTGTACTTGGTATCACCGTGCAGTTACAATATTTCATAATTCACGCGAGCAAATGTTGATGAATTTAATTTTACTAAAGTACGTGCTCTAGCGTATTTGATTATGTTGACACTTTACCCTTTTGGCGGCTTATATTAAAAAGCTCTTCCCTTGAAGCGCTGATTGAATGTCAACAAGTATACGAATTAAATATAACTGGTCGACGTTGAAGGGTTTTGGCGAGGCTTTCAAGTGCGTATTACATAAATGTACCCTAAATTAAGTAAGTACATAACAGAATGGGACGACTCTACCTCTGAATGGAGTGTTGGACTATAAACCAACTTACTGGCACAATATTCAGGTAAAATCAATTTTGCGATCGCACTTGAGATCACAGATCTAGGATCTGTGTTCGATACTGTCGATTTTTTTTACACATTTATTACGATTTGGTGGATCTCGGAACTCCTTAAATCGTGGGATGTAATCTTTTTTCTTTCTTAAGTAATAAATGCAATCTATAAGAGCACTGTAATTATAGTGAATCGGTCTAATTTCCATGGTAATTTTTATTGTTTAAGTATTCAATTTGTTTATCGTGCAATATTATTTAATATTCGAGTACTCATGTCATGAAATATTCTTTGAAAATTACACGATAATATACTTGAATATCCAAAAAATAAAAATTGCCACAGAAATTAGGTAGTGAACATTAGTCCGAGAATGACCGGAATAATCACTGATTTAACTTTTTTACATTATTTATTATTTCTAGTCATAATTGATGCAAAGATTTATTTTCAAACAAGTCGTAGAGAAATCACCCTCAAAGTAGACCGACCTAGTAAAGAGTGCAGGAATCCGCTAGATGTAAGCAGTGCAAGACTTGTCTTTGTTGTAGAGTGGCAAAGGACTGTCTATTTCTAGACAGGCCTGCTAATATGTATGTACATAGGTGTGTATTTTATTTATCGTCATATAGAAACGTCACACTGATATATATCGACTGTGCAAATTTGGAATGTCGTAAGGAATATTTTGTCGTAATTATTAAATTATTACCCCATATAGTGGAACTCTTGCGACATTTCAAATTTCCACCATCGATGTATATATCCGAGACAACAGTGAAGACGATTAAATTTTCGCCTAGATGAATTACCAAAATAGATTTTTGTTTTCACGTTTCCCTGACACAAAGGACACCTGAAAATTTTTCTTATATATGGGATATTATTTACCATTACACACATAACGCACAACGCACATAACCATTAAATAGATACATATTTATTTCCTCAAGAACGGGATACTTCTGAATTCTATGATATTTTCTGAGCATTCATAATATTCGAAATTAAAATTCCAAAATATCGTCTACTTCATACGTAAGAAAATTACACTTGAAATCGTCACATTTGTACATCACTTCTTACTACAAATTCAAAAAGTCAATTCTTTTGAGAAGAATGAGCAAGAAACTTTAAGTGGGGCAAAGAGCTTTGTTCTTAGAACAAAACTTACAACAATTGTAAAAGAAATTAACATTCTTACACTATTAAGGAGAATATTATTCTTTTTAAGAAAAATAGTGATAAACATAACATTATTATATAATAAAAACTTAAATAATATAGATATTTTTGAGTTATCCTTATATAGTTTTAAAAAGAAAATGAGAGAAATAAATTTTTTTATTAATAATTTTTTATTTTTGCTAAATTCTTGTTTATGTTTGTGGAACTCCAGGTTATTTGTAGTAATCGATGTCATTGTATCACTTACTCTGTTCTATGAGTTTTACTGTGTTTGAGCTTAGAACAGTATGGGCACAGATTACTTAATAGTCACTAGTACTATACTCTCATACAAAATCGAAAATACCTACGTTATAATAGCCTACTAATTCTGACTAACGACACCAGGTGCTCACTACGAAAAAAAAGGAACCTAAGCACGTGCTCAGTGAGGTGAAAATAACGTAGCCCGCCGTGTGCAATCGTGCGGAACCGAATGCTGGGGTTTTATAAGGATCGTAATGTAAATAAAAGACTTATCTGAGCGTTTGCACTGTCGGCGATACACTCAGCGATAGGCACTTATCACGTAACCTCGAGCAAGTGACCGAGCCCTGTCATAGTATATCATTGGTTCTTATTATTTTTATCGGGTAAACATTATGTAAGTCCTCTCATCATTGACTGTCTTTATTAAACATTCTTCTCGTAGCTCATTACGACGTACGACTTTGAATAGAAATGTAAGAGCAA